GGGGCGTAGATGTGTAGATTGCATAACGGTGTACATCGCACCTGGTTTTGTGGTGCCGGCCCGGGTGGTCATGCCCCGCTTTGCAAAGGGGGCGTGGATTGACGGGCCGGGGCCTTTCCTCCCCTGACTGGTCCTCAAGGCTGCGGGCGTGGCGCGAATGGACAGAGGAGTTCGTGTGGGGCCGCCCGCCGGGCGCCCAGGCGGCGGCGGCGGGGCCAGACGGAGAGCGCCGTGCCGGCGGCGGCGGCGTTGAGGAGCGCGGGGCACCTGGCACGCGGCGCGACCGGCGGGACGACGCACCCGAGCCGCGGCTGGCGCCCCGGCTTGGAGGCTATGTCGGGGGCAATCCGCGGGAGCGTGAGCGCGGCCGCAGCAGGGAGCGTGAGCGGCGGCGCAGCAGGAGCCGCAGCCGCAGCCGCAGCCGGGAGCGCGACTACCGGGACGGCAGGGACGGCAGGGAGCGCGGCGGCGTCCGCGACGAGGACCGAGACCGCGACTACTACAAGCGGCGGCGGCGGGACTAGGCCGTGCTGCAGCCACGTAATCACTCCGGGTCTTGTGTAGAGTGCAGGGGGCCCGCCAGGCGGCTGGCCTCGCCCGTGAAAGTGCTGATGTTGCGTTTGCCGCCCGGCTGGCGCGTATTATGTGCGTCGCATCACCGTGCGTGGGAGAGAACTGTTGGCATGCAGCGTCACAGGCGGCCACGTCGCTCCAGGCATCCAGCACAGCAGTGTTTTGCAGCAAGCCCACTGCAGCAGCTTCGCCACAGGTACGCGCTTTGCAGCGTGGCAGTCAGTAGCGCTCCTGTCATCCCTGATCAGCGATGAAATGCCAGATGTTTGGAAGGGTTATTTGGCATACCCGACAGCCCTACAAGTCCTCACAATTGATTGATCACACCGCTGCGCATGATCAGTCGATAAAGTGAGGCTTCCCACGGTCTGAGGGACTCTGATAGTGGCCAAGGAAAGACACGAGCGGATGTCGGGTTCAGAGAGGGGCGGCACCCCACCTCGAGCAGGGGTGCAGGACGCTGAGGAGCACCGGCCTAGCAGCCCTCCAGGCGAGCCCAGGAGCGAGCAAAAGGCGGGTGTTGCCGCCAAGGCGCCGCAGGAAGGTGGCGAAGGCGAGGGCGGCGACGGCGGTGCATCGGACAGGAAGCGTTCGGACCGCAAGCGCGAGCGCAAGCTGCGCCGCAAGTCCAGGTCGCGGAGCCGCAGCAGGTCCCGTGAAGGCAAAAGCAAGGACAAACGCAGCCGCAGGTGCGCAGCGCGGCGCTTGTTGGCGCCTGAGGTCTCACTCTGCCTCAGCGCAACTGGCACAGCTGATGCGACGTCCCAGGCGACCGCTCCGCAGCAGGCTTTGCACGTCGGCACACGTCGCACGTGAACACACGACTCCTCACCAATCGCGTCCCCTGCCTGATGCCTGCAGGTCGCGCAGCAGCGACCGCCGCCGCCGCTCCCGCAGCCGCTCCCGCAGCCTGTCCCGTGACCGCTCCCGCAGCCGATCTCGGGTGCGCTCCAGGCGGCACCGCAGCAGCAAGCGCCGCAGCCGGTCGCCCCAGAGCCGGAGCAGGAGCAGGAGCCGCGGCAGGCGCGATCGCAGCCGCTCCAGGGGTCGGCGCAGGGACGATAGCTACAGGCACCGCAGCAGCAGCCGCGGCCGCCGGGGTCGTGGGCGGTACAGCGACCACTCCTCGGACGGAGGCTACCGCCCGCGCGGCGGCCGTGGGCGCGACGAACCACCGCGGCCGGCGGCCGGGCAGGCACCGCCGTCGGCAAACGACCCGTGGGCGCACCTGCGCAACCCTTCAATCATGTCTGACCCGGCTGAGATGGCGCGCATCTGGCAAGAGCAGATGCTCAAGAGCAGGTGGGGTTTGGGAGGAGGGTGATTGGGATGCGCAATGGCAAAAGGGACCATGCAATAGTGAGTGTGACAGAGGGGGCTACTAGTGGAGGCCTTGGCGGTGTTACTGGTCAGGCCGACGGCAAGGTCGTGCTTCAGGCCTACTGGCCCAGCCTTGCGCCCCTCTTGTCTAGCCACCAAAACTGCCCTGACGACTGCTTTTGGCATTTCCAGGCAGCTGATCATCCAGCAGCAGGCCAAGAGCGCAGCCCAAGCGGCGGCCAAGAGCCAGAGGGAGGTGAGCGGCAGGGTGGTGTGAAGCTGCCTGTGGGGGCGGGGCAATCTTTTTCTTACAGCCAATTGTCACACAGAGCACCCTCGCACACGTCGTTGCTGAGGGTTGGGCCCACTGCCTCCGCGTGCAATGCCGGGTGCCCCATCCGTCCCCTCCCAGCTCTACATCGGCAACCTGGCGGCCGGCATGGTGACGGCAGACGCTCTGCGCCAGGTGTTTGACAGCGCCCTGATGGCCGCGTACCCGGAGGTGGGCGCGGCTGGGTGGTGTGCGACGGCTGCAGGGCTTGTAAGGCTGCGTGACCTGGCTGTTTTGGGGCCGTCCTGCATCATTGCCCAACAGCCTCGTTTTGTGCTGCTTTGACAAGAGAAATTGTCGCTGACCAGGCGTCATGCTGCCCAGCTCACCTCCACCCTAGCATGCCTGTCCTCCTGCCCTGGCATCCCCTGCGTGCCGCCCCGTGCGGCCCCCCACCCATACTCTCGTCCCCTCTTTGATCTCCCGTCCCTCTTCCTGGTCCCCTCCCTGCGCGCAGTCAGCCTTGCCGGGCGCGGCTCCCGTGGTCAACTGCAACGTCCACAAGGACGGCAAGTACGGCTTTGTGGAGTTCAGGACGCCGGAGTACGCCACCGCCGCGCTGCAGCTCAACGGCAGCGTGCACCTCATGGGCACCACCATCAGCATCGGCCGCCCCGCGGCATACATAGACCCCAACAAGGTGGCGGTGGCGGCGCAGCAAGCGGAGCTGCAGATCGCAATGCAGAGGGCCGGCATTGCACCCGGCGCAGCGGCAAGCGCCGTGATTGGCGCGCTGCCGCCGCCGCCGCTGATTCCAGGCGTGCTCCCGCCGCCGCCGGTACTGCCGGGCGTCGCGCCGCCGGCGCCGCCGCCGGGCGGGCCGCCGCCCCCCGGCGCCGCAGCTGTGAGTGTCCCTGGGGTGGCTGCGGCGGCGGGCAACCTGGGCTACAACCTGGCTTCAGAGCCGGGGTACTCTGTCCTGCCGACGCGCTTTGTGGCGGTGGCGGGCATGGTGACGGCCGAGGTTCTGGCGGACAACGACGAGTACGAGGACGTGAGTACGGGGCCGGGGGCCGGCAGGGGACGAGCTTGGGGCACGGCTGGCAGGGGCATTGAAAGGGCGCCTGGCGCGCATGTGATTGCGGGTGCTGTACTGCACACTGCAAAGGCAGCCGCGCGCTCCTGCCGCACTTGCTGAACTCTGCGCCACCGTCTGCCGCCGCTGCTGCTGCTGCCTCCACTGCTGCTTGCTGTGCTGTTGTCGTTGCCGCCCTGCTGCTTTCTGTGTTTGCTGCTGACAGGTCGCCTACGATTGGGTTGCTCCAGACCCGAGGGAGTTGGCTGGCAAATGCCGCCCCTGGCAGCTTCCCACTGCTGCGTGTCGCTTGCCGAATGCCTCACTGGCTACTGGCTCTGACAGGCACATGACAGCATGGCGGCTGCCCATCATACATGCTGCACCAGCTCGAGCTGTGCCTGCCCCTCTGCCCCCCCTCTCTCATGCATCCTCCACCTCCTCCTCTCCGGGCTCGCAACCACATTCAAACTGCCGCACCGCGCGCCCTGCGCGCCTTGTTCTCCCCCCTCCTTGCCCCCCCCCCCCC